TTAATTCTCACTTTATAATAAATGTAGTCCTATAGAAGAAGATCAACACTTCACACATCTCCAGTACTAAAAAACAATTAACTGATGTCATTATCATAGCTCTAGGACATTTTCATTTTTTCCAATCTTTGTAAAAAGTTTGAATTTATTGATACATGTGCTCTATTTTGAAGAAGAGTGTTATAATATGAAAATGTTAGATTGGAAATATATGTTATTATTATTATTATTAGAACCCCATAATTTAGGATATTCTCCTCATTATCTTTTTTTCTATATTCTTCTCATTTACCCATATATTGTCACCACAATTAAGTTGATAACATACAAAATATATGTTTCCTCTCCGCTAGGAACAAAGAAAGCATTAACGTCTTCACCTGTTTTCATACTTTTAGAAGAACAGTTGAATTCTCATCTATTTAAATTTTCATTTCCTCGGGATATAACTTAAGTTTTTGTGCCATATGTCATTTCTTGAGAGCGCCAAATGTCAGCTTTGCACGACTTTGGAAGCTTTTGAATATAGGTTCACAGTAAAGCAGAACGGATGCGCAACGTAATTATTGTTTGTCGAGAATCTAAGCTTTGTCATCCATTGTTAGGGGTACCAAAAATGAAGCGCGCTAGAAGTCCTCTAAAACACGCATATCAGGACAAAAAAATGATGGGAAAGCATTAGACGAATTCAAACAGAATTCAGCATTAAATCGGAAACATATTACTTGTAACATTAAAAAATAAAATCATTAGACAATCATACATGATGTTGACTGTTGTCATGTAATGGAATAATGAAGAAAACCATTAACCTTGTTATCCTACATGACGCAGCCAAAGTAGTTGAAGAATAGCTTATTTAGTTCTCACGGGTCATTTGCGTTTTTTTTTTTTTTCGCGTTAGTATATAAGGCCTATTGGCCACTGTACCAGGCAGTTTTTTGGAGAAAATTAATGCTAATACGGGAAATAAGTTGCTGAAAAGGAAATTTATCCTTCGTTGGCTTTTCTTGGTTCTTTAGCCAAGATTGTGTTCAATTATTCTACTGTTTTTCTTCTACTCTGACTGTTTTTAGATCGGGTCTGCATCACTATAACTGACGCGTAGCAGTAAGAAAAAAAAAAACTTAAAAAGCAAGGAGGGAGTGTTTGCCGTCCTATTTTATGCAGAATTTAAATAAGAATCAGCTTACATACTGCCAATTAGAGTTTAAAATACTTTAAATCTTACAAGTTTGATACATTTCAATTTCAACTTCGTTATTGATTAAATCTAATATTTATTAAATCTCATAATTCATAGAATTTAAGATATTAAAGGATCTATGGCGCTCATAAAAATTAAATCCTAACATAAATAGAAAAAGTTGAGGTCTTAATCCCCTCAAAATTTACTAAATCTGGACATGCAGGATTTCTAAATCCTATTTGAGTTAATTCCTAATTGTAGCCATACATTTTGTCGGTTGAGAGCTTTGATGTGTCTGAGTTTGTCCTAATTAGCTCAAAAGTCCAAAAAAAAAAAAAAAAATCATCTGGGTGGTTAGCGTCTGCAGCAAGATCATCACACACATATACTGACCTGGAAATGCTGGACCCGCTTGTCTGAGAGGAGGAAGGGAGCGTCGAGTTCCAGCACCCCTCCCTTCCCTATCCCTCTCTACCTTCTCGGGAAGCAGAAACAGTAGCCAAAAGTAGGTAAATGCCGGTGCATAGCAGAATCAGGCAATCTTTCTCTCTCTCGATTTTCTTGAGTCTCTATCTCTCTCTATCGATCAAGCGCAAGAAGGATTCCGCCGGGTAAAGATATCGGAATCATTTCGCCGGTGATGAAATTTGCGAAGAAGCCTGCTGGGGCAGCGTGGGTCGCTCGACTAGATCGCACAAAAAGGCTAACTTATAGGCTTCGTTAAACAGAAGCCTATATTTTCGTTTTTTTGCTTTAATAAAATTTTAAAGGAAATTTCAAATTTTACTTTCTATATACCCTTATAATAGCGAAAATTTAAAAAAAAAAAATCATTATTTAATTTGTTGAGAAAATATATTCAAATGTGAAGTTTATTTTAAAATACTTCCAAAATTTCATCATTGGCATCCATTTGAGATTTTCTTACTCATAAAAATGCATGCCTATCAAGTTCTATATTTCTTTATGTATCAAGTATTTTAGCATATATATATATATATATATTATTTTTCAAGGTTTTCTATAAAGTATAAATTAGGTCATTTTTATGGAGCTCTGACTCAGAGTTAGATAGACTAACGAATGTGACATCTTATTTAATCCTTGTTCTAATAATAATCGAACAGTATTTTTAACACATGTTCTAGTAAGGATTGAAAAAAGTTCTATGACACTATATCTAACTTTGAGTTAGTAATGTTGAATACATGTTTGTGTATTATTCAAACAATATTGTACGATTATTACTCAAACCTTGTTTGTACTTTTTTTTTTTTGCCTTGTTTGTACATGTTGAATCATGTTTTGTCCAGTACATGATGTTGGGTCATATTTCTTGCTACATGTGAACTAAGAGTCTGTGGGGAAAAGATAATCAAGTTTGAGTACAAAGATAAAGAGGAGAGAAGAGGCTAAGAGAGTATGAATCTAGACAAAAATTTCATTATCCAAGCCAGAGGTACAACTATGCAATAAAACTCAAGTTAAGAAAGAAAAAAATTTTATAAAATATCTCTCTTTTGACATCTTTATATATGGTCGTAGTTCTTTGGTCATACTTTATTGTGTTTAGTCTTCTTCCTTTTCTTTTTTTTTTTTTTCCTTTTTCTTCCTTTTTTTTTCTATGCTCCCCCTATTTATAGGATTTGGAGAGTATAGGGTATGTACAAGATATAGTAGTTGTCCTATCAGTCCTTGATGTAGCTCAATCGTCTATGCTTAGTGAAGCGGAGATCATCATGAGAGGGGACACAAGGGATGAGGAGCTCGTAGGTGGAATTGTTGTCCCTAGAGAGTCGATCAAAGGTCCCCCCATTGAGGTGAGAGGGGAAGAGTAGCTTCTAAAGGTGGTTGGGAGATTGGACCAGTGTAAAGATGGAAGTTAGTATGTAGTCACCCCATTGAGGTAAGTGGGGCGAGTAACATTCTAAGAGATGTCGTAGAGGCGATGTATATCATTAGCTGGTTAATAAATATTGTTTGGGAGCTTGAATTTGTCCAAGATGAATAAAGATCTATCTAACTGAGATATAAACTTCTAAGGTTACCCTCCCCTTTATGGGACGACTTCATAGACGATATGGTCGGTGATGGTTTGTCGTGCTCCATTGTTAAGCTCCTGAGTGAGTCCCTCAAATGAACTATTTCAAGAGAGGAGTGGATCCTCATTTTGCTTGACCTGAACATAACATGCAAGACGCATGTGGATGTGTACCTACACAGGTAGTCATGGGTGTATATTTAGTTTTCTGATTTAAGAGATCCTTTGAACATGAGACGTTGAAAAAGGTCGGATAAATGTAAAACTGGAAAAGAGAACATGAGTAAATGCAAATTTACTACCCTTAATTCTTTATAAATTTTGAGGTTCATTTTTCCTTGGAGTTCGAACGACGCCATCATCTAGCTTCTATAAATACCAGCTTTTGGGTGAGATGGAAGTTTGCCTTTACTTTTCAAATGTGAGCCTTGCTTGATTTTGGCGATGGATCATTCCTCTCTCCTTGGCGTTCGAGCTTCCTGAAAAGCTGCTTACAGGAGAGCACAAAGTGGTCTTCAGAATGAAGGAAATGGATGCAAAGGAGGCTACATCGATTAGGCTTGTTGTTGGAAAAAAGGTGTGACTGTATGTGGACTCGATAGATTTAACAACAGGTTCCCTATTAAATAAAAATAAAATAATAATAATAATAAAAAAACATGCTCCCTATTGAAGAGAATGCTAGTTGATGTCAGAGAGCCAATTTTCATTGTGGATAATCAGTTTTCAGATCTTATTGCGAGGATGAATGAGATGTATACCCGTATTGTCCCAATGGCAGGAGGCATGACTAGTAATTGCAAAGGTCCCGACGATGAGAAAAGCATCATTTTCTTTATAGGAGTGTGTAGGTAAGTGTGCATGAAGTCCCTTTGAAGAAGGTGAGTGTGCCAAAACAAGAGGCAATCACTAAAGAGATTGTTGTCGTAGCAAAGAGGAATGTTGAAGTGGTCGTTGAAGAGTGAGCTACAAACAAGGTGCTTGAGTAGCTGTTGCGTTTTTTTTTTTTTTCGTATGCCTTGTTTACTAATCATGACTTTCCCCTAGAGTAATTTTTGTTGCACAAAATTATTGGGAGGCTAACAACCACACCATGGAATCGGTTGTCAAGTCCAAGGGTGTAGGCGAGCACGACGTTGCTGAAGAGATAACTAATGTTGCAAATGATGCTAACTTGAGAGAGGAATTGCCTTCTCGAAATGACTATATGGTGGTCATATGGGGTCGTATAGGCTCAATGGAGGCCAAGTTGCCCTTACTTCTTAGCCAGACCAAGCAGGAGTGCTTTCACCAGGGTGCTCGGTACATCATAAAGTACCTTGGTCAGATGGGAGGACTAGCATTGAGTGTCACACCCTAAGATTTAATGTGGAAGAATTTCATTTCATCTTGGTTTAGTGGGTATAGATTGTTAAGTAGGAATGGAGGCCATATTGATTATAGTAAAAAAAACGATGCTATTATGTGTGGATTGTGAGATATTTTCTTTCTATGATGTTGGAGGGGTATTATCTATCCTGATATTAGTTTTACAATTTAATAATTATGAAAAAGAGTATTTCTATATTTCTTGCATATGTTATAGATGAAAGTAAGTTTTTTGGAGTGATTGATGTCTCTCATTATAAATCTGTCGTCATATGTAGATAATTTTTTTATAATTAATCATTCATTTAATTATAATTAATTAATAATTTAAGTTAATTTGTTATGTTAGGATGATTTGAATAGACTAATTTTTTTTTAAGTAGTGTACAAAAACTTATTCAAAACACGCCTTGTGAGGGATCCACACCCAAAAATCTCCAAACACGATATCGAAGAGGCGAAATCGCAGATGGCTTCTTCTCTAATGGCTTCCTTTTCCTCTCTCCCGGCCAAGTCTTGTCGTCCTTCCCACGCCTCGCTGGCCTCTTCTAGTTCTGTCTTCATCAGCAGCGGCGGAAGGGCCTTGGCGCCGCCGGCGAATCTCAGCCTCGTGGCTCGTCGGAGGAGGACCGGTGGTGGCCAAAGCTCCCGGGGGCTCGACTGCCGCTGCCTATTTGGGCTCGGCGTGCCGGAGCTCGTCGTCATCGCCGGCGTTGCCGCGCTTGTCTTTGGTCCAAAGAAGCTGCCAGAAATCGGCCGGAGTATTGGGAAGACTGTGAAAAGTTTCCAGCAGGTATGAGTAGTTGTTCGCGTCTTCTGTTCAAAATGTTTTAGCATGCCCGAGCTCTGATCGGGACGTTTGGGCTTTGAATTTCTATTTTGAAACTTCTGTCCTCCTGGAGCTTTTAATTCGAATGTTCAGGGCAGTAGGAGAGTTAGGGATGATTTAGCTCAGATGTTTCTGTCTATAGATCTGGTGATTGCTACTTATTGATGCTTGAATTATTACAGTTTTTTTTTTTCGGCACATATTATTATTATTGAATTACAACAAAGTAGTTTGAAGGGCTGCTTGGCTAAAAGTAGGATTTCACTCTAGTAGCATTTGGTAAATCTAGATTTTGCAAGTCTTGAGAGGATCAAAACATGAAGACTTTACATGACTTTCTTAAAATCTTACTAAATACTAATATATTGTTTGGTTATTTGTTTCATAATTTAAAATTTGCGAGAGGAAGAAATCTTTAAATTCATTATTTATTGTAAATGATAGTATTTAGCAAATCATGGATTTAACCAATAACTGAGGTGAAACAAAATATATGAAAACATAAAGATTTAAAGTTCCTTAAAAGCTATTTGGCAGGGTTTAGGCTAACTCTTCTTTAAATTATACCTAAAATAGACAATCAAACAATCCCTTAAACAGATTTTTTTCTAGTACAGTAGATGCATATTTGGATGAAATACATATGGGGTTTTTGTTGATGGTAGGCCGTTAACTTGTGTAATGAGGTCTATTTGCTTCTTAAGGAGTTTATTGTCTTTTTAAGAAATTGAAATTTTGGTGTTATGGAGTTTTCTTGTCAAAGCAAGTCTACTTTCTCAGATCAAAATGTGGGTAAGAATTCTTGTGATAACAAATTGACGTGTCCAATGAGGTGTTTTATGGAATACATATTACATCAGGAGAAGCGTAGCAAATGCTTTTAGTGTTGAGGAGTCAGCCTATTTTTTTAGCATGTGATGTTATGAGGGCTAGCCATCAAAGTTATATACCATTAAGTTAATATTTTTATTGTAGATTTGTGAATTAAGTGGCTGGTAATTTATAAGATTTGTTGATGTTTATTGGTTTATTTAACCAACCTGTTAGGCTTTACTCTGATATAACAACCCCTTAGATTCAATAATTTTTGGAAAAAAAGGAGCAATGGGACCGTTTATTGTTCTCATCTCCATGGAATTATAGTTGTCATCCACATACTTTGCTCCACTTGCATTTGCAATTAAGCTTTATTAAAAATTTTCAATGTGCCACTCCCATCCTTATCCTAATTTGCGTGACAACTCCTCAAAATCACATTCTCTTCCCCAGTCATGTTCCCTTTTGATAAGGCCTACCTTAATCCATGCTATGATTTTGTACAAAATGCTTAAACTCATTAGTTGCTTTTCCTTTGATTTAAATCTACCAAGGGAGGCTAGTGTCCAATATTTTTAATGAATAGGATCACAAGTGGAGCAATTGGAATATGTGATATGTGAGGAATTATATGAACTCAGAGGTTAAATTATAATCAAATGAAGAGTAAAATCTAATATGCCCAAGATAAATATTAATCAGACAAGGAAATAACAAGAGTGGTTACTTCTTATTAGTAACTAGGGTTTTGCAATATTTTTGAGGGATGATTTATTTTTTGATCGATGATAAAATTAACTATAATGGCCCCCTATTTATAATCATAGATGGTCAATTTAAAAAAGAAGAAGGAAAAGTATACAATAATTCCAAAATGCAACAATTATATCATATCCAAACCTAAATTCATGGAAAACAATTTTAGCATTCTCTATATACAAGTATGTATATTGAGAGGAACTTTTTTGGAGAGAATTCAACTTATTATTTTATTTTTTTCATTCTACTAATTTCCATCCCCTCTGTATTCCATGAAGTTTGAATTTTGACTTGATTTACTAGCCATAAAATGCCCTACCTTGATAGGGTTGTATGGTGGAGCCTTTTCGTTTCTTGGAAGGTTCTGAAGTCTCATTGAAGTTTCTTCAATCGTTATTTATTTACAATTATTTAAGCTTTTTAGAAGGTTTCCCTATTTTTCAAGATGGCTCTAGAAGCATCTTACAAAATGTTATAGAAGCTTGTTAGAACCTCTGAGTCATGGTTCCCCATGCGCTCTAATTTGCTCTTGGAAATAACTGTAGGTGAGAAAACTTGTTTTCTCCTTTTCAAGGTTTAGGATTTTCGGTAAAAAGAATTCAATTTAGAGCAGTAAAAACAAGCCATGTATTTTAGTTCGTAGAGATAATATCATTTAGTTTGTTTACCACGTTGAATCATTTTCCATAATGATATTGCTTTTACAAATATTAAAATTAATAGATTTATTTATTGTCATAACATTTTGCTATTCTCCATTTACCAACTAATGATTTTGCTGAAGCTTTTAATAAAACTTTGATTCAATTAATCAAGAAACTCCTCCATTTACTATGATCTTATTTCCTTGATTGCCTGTCCTTGTTTCGTAACATTGAATGCTTCCTTAAGCACTCTCCTTGTAATAGTTTTAGTTTTAGCATTCCTTCCTATGATGTTGTACTCTTACAGTGATCCCTTCTATATTACATTTAAATCATCTATAATAGGAATAACCTTGCTCATAACCATCACGAAGCAAAGAAGGTTCAAACAACCTCAAATGCAGAATTATTTCCTTAATTACAGAAGAAATGTTCATATGAGTAGAAATGTGTAGCCTATAATTATTATTTTCTATTATATTAAGGATCTTTAAAGGCCTATATATGGTTTATTTTAATTTATTCCCTCTCCTGTCAGTCTATCATTTCCTAGATGTAGTCATACGAAATCTCCTTCTTGAAAACTGTTGGAAACATTACACTTGTAGTGTTATGTCTTATATTTTTTTGAGACATTTGCAAGCTTCCCTGCATCTCTTAATGTCTTCCTAAATATCTTCCTATTCTCTTTAGGAAGATTTGAGCTTTCTTTACCTCATGCTTCTCATTGTTCCTTTACCCAAACCAATAGGGAATTCAGATTTAAGAGGACTTTATGGTAAATATTCAAAACAAATCTCAAATGGTAATTTCATTATTGATCCATGAATTGCTCTTTTGTAAGAAGAATGCATATCTTGGATATTATCACCCCATGACTTAGGATGTTTGGCATTGTATTCTTATAGATACTCACCATAGTTTTTTCACGGCCTCTGTCTGATCTTGTGTTTATGGGTCTAAGACACTCTTCTTCAATTTTGTTGTCCATCATGCTCTATATTGCTTTGAAGAATTGACTACAAAACTTCTTGTTCTTGTTAAAAATGATGAATGCTGGTAATCCAAATTGCTTCCGCACATATTGGGAAAATAGCTTTGCATCTTCTACTTGGGTGATTGTTTTCTTAGAAGAACGAAGTACTTCATCTTGCTAAATCAATCCACTATAATCAATATGTAATTAAATCTTTGTTGGTCTTAGAAAGCCCTCAAAGGAAATTTATAGAGATTTATTTCTCAGGATCAACCTAGTTCTTGAGAAGGGATGTACAAACTCACTTTTGGTGGGACAATTTCGAAGTGTTGCATGGGACCCAACCCCTCAAGAACTACTTTCCATTAAGTTCATCTTGAGCCAATTGACACATATTCTTCTCATGTAATGTTTTCTTTATTTGAATCGCCCTAGTACTCTTGAGAAGTGAGCCTCCTGAATATAGTTGATTAGATCAGCCCCATGTGATGTATGCACAATTAATGGCCATGATAATGGAGACCATCTTTCAAAATGAAGGGAATCAACTTGCCTTACCTCAAGACTTGGAGTTTCTATTATAACTCAGGACAAATCAAGTATTGCGACTCATACCGATCATGTTGTAGATGCAAGATTTACATATCCCAAAATAAATAAGAGTGGTTGAAAATAAAGTTAGCCATGACAATATGTCAACCATTTGTTCTGGACGCTCTACTTGCATTTGTTCACCATGTTGACTTGTTGTAGAATGTCATTTATTGTTCAGTGCAATTAGCTCCGTCCCATAGAATTGATAGTTTTTGTGAGCTCCCTATAATATCTCACAACAACAACAAGCCTTTATTCCACTACGTGGGGTCGGCTACATGAATTTTTTTTCTCCATTGTGTCCTATTAAAAGTCAAAATCTCATTTAAATCTAATAAAGAAAGGTCATTCCTAATATTTTCTAACCAAATCTTTTTAGCTCCCTATAATATCTCAGGATGATAAAAATAAGTTTACTGTCTCGGATGAAAATAGATCCAATAGCATTACTAAGGCCTTCGTTTCCAATTAAAAATGTGTTTGTAAATTAAGAAGTGCTAAGATTGGTTCTGCAATGATCTTTTTTTCTCAGCAGTTGAAAAGAATCCTTCTCGTGCTCCTCAAGTGAATTTCTTTCTAGCCCTAGTGAGGAGATGAAGCGGGGAAGCTAATGGTCAGAAGTGGTGGTAGATTTCTGATAGGAAATACTTGGGATCAAGTATTTCCTATGCGTCTCTAGTGCAAATCTCCTCGCCAAATGCTGTCCCGCACAGGAAAACAGTGAAAAAACAGCGGAAAAGTAGAGAAAAAACTGAGAGAAAACGTAGGAAATCAATAGCAAATGATTGTATTCCACTAGTAAATGCAAGAGACAAATAAGATACAACTTTCCTTCGATTCGAGAGGAAGGAAAAACTCTCCAAATCTCTAGCCGTAGTCTAGAGCCCAAGAACAAGAAAACCTAGATCTTAACAATATTCAAAATGTAAGATAATCCCTCATTCACACCCAAAACTCCTAATTGAAGACAAAGGACAATTACAAACTTCCTAAAACAGCCCTCAACATTCAAAATTTCCCTCCAAACGCTCCCCAAACCCACGCGGCTCACCCCCGTTTCCGCTCAGAGTCGCGCTCCCCCCGTTTTTTTTTTTCGCCTGTAGAAGCAGTGGACCGGTCCGGGCTGGACCGGTCCAGCCGGTCCCTCCTGGGCCGGCGTAACAATTTCCTGATATATTGGCAAGCACCCATGAAGCTTGTTACTTTAGATATAGTGCTTGGCACAGGCCATTCTTGCTGGAGTCAATTTTTAATATGCTACCTCAGTACCTCTAACTATAAACTCTAGATAGACAAGTCTAACACCATTGAATGATGGAATTTATACCAAATCAAACTTAAAGGAACAATCTCACAAGTGACTTTTTCTATAAAATGCTCCATGATTACGTACCTAAAGGTACATTATTGTGTAGCCTTATACCCCACTCCTTTTTATAATCCATCCCAATAAACGAGTAGAATATGTACATATTTCCAGCCTAAGTTTTTCATTAATGCAATGACAATTAAATTCTTTTCACACACAAGGTCAAAAAATAGTTGATACAAAAGTCATTTTCATCTGCACATTTAGTAGCAAGAGATCCTCCTTGGCTTGCTTACAAGGTGTGTCAACATTTTCTTCGTACTAATTTTATTTTTTAGTAATATGTCATTAATTTCAATTAATACCTATTCATTAAGGGTGGTTCTAATTTAATCCAGAGGTTCCAAGTTTAAGTCATCGAAACAATCTCTACAAATGCTGGGGTGTTGGGGTAAGGGTATGTGCAAAAATCCCTAACCAGACTTTGCATTTAGCAGGAGCTTCATGTCTTAGATACACACCTCGCTTGTATTATTTGTTCATTACAATAGAAAATATTGAAATTGCAACTGTTAAATCCTGATAATCCTATAAACTTAATTCTACTAAATACTTATATAATCTTAGCCCCCAATCAAGCAAGGACTTTATGGACTATGATATGCCACACAGAATTCATTTCACAACACCAGATGAAATTCTTGTAGAAAGTCATATAATCTGGTGAAACATTTTGCAAATGTGATGTGAATGTGTTTTACTTTTATGACATATAAAATTGATTTATCAAGAAAGAATTTAATGATTTAAGTATGCAAATACCTATTCAAGTCCCCTTTTAATTTTCCTTGTTATTTGCTCCATTCATATACTTTATTTGTCGTCATTTTGTTAGACCTTGTAGTCTATAGTTGAAGGTTCTAGCTTCCACCGATGTGTATGACAGTACAAGTAATATTTTAGATACAAACATTGAAGACATGTTCACATATCGTTAAGAATTTAAATGGTTTGAGGATATATACCTTGTCGTTGCCTGCTTGTTTCTCTTTGGATGAATTATTCATACAATACCCATTATGTATGAATTATTCACAAAACTTTTGTTTATCATCTTTTAACAAGTATGGATAACACAAAATTATAATCTTCAAAGTTCAAACTATAAAATACATTTTATGAATTATACTCCCATATGTTGAGAAATAATTCATTGTCTTATTTCAAGATATTAATGATAAATTTAACAATTTAAATTTAGATTAAATAATCCTCATTTTCTAATATAAATTCTAAAATATGATCTTTATGTTACACATGTATTAATGCTCATTTAATATCTATCCAAAACTATAATTTGTCCTTTCATGCCAAAGGGTATAAACGAGTCAAGTCAAACTTGAGTGTCTACTAACTAGCAAAGCTCAAACTCGGGCCGGACTAACAACGTGCTCAAACTTGACTTGTGAATTCAAGGTCCCCAAAATTTTGAATTGTGGCAATAACTTATTGACATTAACAAGAAGAATCAAAATGTGCCATGTCACCCGGTACCGAGTGGTACACAGCAAAAAAAGACGTGACACATTCTCATTCGCCTCTGGATGTCGTTTGATGACCGCAATTTCTCCTCTGCCGGGGGCATAGGTGGTGATATTCAAAATTTTCATTCAAAATTTTATAAAACTTCTATAATATACATAATTGTTGAAGAATCTAAATATTAAATGTTTATATTATATATAATCATATAAAATATTTCTCAATTTTGGTGGGCAAGAGGCAGCCCCAACCTACCATGATTCCCCCACTATTTCCAGTCATATGGTATCAATATCATATCATAGTCATATAAAGCCACTATTTTATTTATAACTTCTGACAAATATTTCTCACTACTAAATTACTTCCAGGCGGCAAAGGAGTTTGAGACTGAGCTGAAAAAGGAACCTGAAGAGGGAACTCAACCCCCTCCTCCTCAGAACCCTAATGCTTCAGTAGAGAATCTGGGAGCTGCTAAAAGTGAAGATGATAAGAAGGAGCTTGAAGCTTCAGGTACAAAGGAGAGCACCTGAAATAAGGATTCCTTATATATCTTCTGTTTATTTATTGTTTTAACTGTAGATTGCAGTATCTCTTTGCCTAGCAATAATGTAGGATATGCGCATTTTTTATTTTGGAGACTCTTTGATTCCCTACCAAATGTAGTATCTGCTCAATATTAACCAAATTGTGTGTTTCCTGTGTTATCTATTTTTTGGCACACTAAATACAGAATAAGGGATTTTGAGACCAATAGTAAGTTTATGGCGTATTCATAAATGGACAATTCAGGCTTCATTTGGGATAGGTTTTTTACCACTTCTTAAAGTAGCTTTATAGTATAAAATTTTTTTGAACTTCAAATTTTTGTACTAAAAAGTTGCTTTAGAAAGCGGCGAGAAAACTGTTTCAAATGAAACCTTAGTTTCTTGATTATTCAAAATTGATCCAAAATAGTTTATTTGAGATTAAATTAAGATCAATTTTGTGCAATCAATGTACTAAATTATGATGAATTTTATATCATAAGTATGATATAATGGAAATGGATTATTTTTTATTAGTTTTGTATAGTCGAGAGATTAAATTGGGGCAGTGCCACTCTAAGCTTATATTGTCCACATACCAATATATATAATCTAGACCTAAGGTTTTAGATTCATTCATTTTATTATAACTACTAAACTTTATTTTATTAGATTAATTTATAATATTTTTCATGATTTTATTCTGTTTTCTCTGAAAAAAAAACAACTTCTTTGAATTCTCATTTAATATTTCCATGATTTTATTCCCCTTTCTTTTAGTTTAGCTCTTTTATGCATCTCAATTTTTTTTCAGGGGTTTGAATATCTAATAATTAAATTTTAATATTTATTTATATAACAGTAAAATCATTCATTAAATATATAACTAATATTAATTTTTTAAAAGTGATTTAATATCATTTAAGTATAATTGAATATTTTTTAAAAATTTCAGACTTGAACCTATACTGTAATTTGGTATATTTAAGACACCCAAAGAAGTTTTATCAGTTTTTACTAATATATATTATTTATTTTAATGTTTCCGAGTAATTTTTGTGAAACTTCACAATCAGCCCTCCTATCCTTTATATTTCATCCAATCATCAAATCATAAATGGTATAAATTCCATCATTCTTTAAATATATTTTTTTAACAAAATAAACCAAAGGAGTTCAAAAAAAAATTGCATGCAACCCTTCAAGCCTAAAATGCAAATCTAACAAACAAAATAGACCTAACAAATAAGAAAAAATAATAACAATCATTACATTAAGAATTGGAGCATTAAGATAAAAAGACCCTAATTGAATATTTGCAAGGCATATTATATTGCTTATAACTATATCAAGTTTAAAGTGAATTAAAACATATATTTGATTTGTAATATACTAATATCTATAATATACATATTTACATGAATAACACTAAAAAAACCTCTATTTATAACAAAACCAATCAATTTTTAAAGAGCATAAAGAGTCTCACCCCTCACCTTTGCTTCTATTAAACTCTTAAAGAAATTATCTTGACACATAAATACATCTATTTGAATTTTTTTTTTTTTAACTTGGATATCAAACATATAAAAAAAACATTTAAATTCTTGTTGCAATTTTTTTCACATAATAGAACAAAAAAAAAAAGAAGGATTCATATAGCCAATCTCACATAATGGGGAAATTCCCCCTTAAAAACAAATAATACACCATCAAATGCATTACTAAAGCTATGTTGAGAGAACAAAACATAAAAATTAAGAGGCTGGTTTATCCTATCTTCAATAGAGCTTAACAAAACAAATATCAAATATAATAACTTAATTTTACAGGTTCAAACAAAAAGGGTGAAAATAATAAGACAAAACATTTAAAAAAAAAGTCATTTAACATCTAAGTTCTTCATAGCAATCCCTTTCTTTGAAGTAAGCAAAACTTTCTTTGGCAGTGGATTCACCAAGTAAACACAAACCATCTTGGCAATAGGAACAGTTGGAGTCATACAGAGAGCTTAATCCTCATCCATGCCGGCAGGTTGATCTCTCTTTGGTCCACCAGCTTGCCTTGCCATTATAATCTGCCAAAAAGATGAGTATTGCAGTTAATGGGAGTCTATTTCTCTGTTGATTAGCTAACTAGTTGACATGAGTTCAGATTATTCATTTTAAAAAGGTGGAAACTAATTTTGTTGAGAAGATATGTATGCATATAAATCTCCCACTATAAAAATGTGGAGCCACCCACCAAGGGAGCCACTAATGCCCAAGTCAGTCCTAGGAGTGTAAATGAGTTGAGCCAGATTCGAGGCATTGTTGGCTTGGCTTGACTCAACAAGTAGAGAGCTTAGTTTGTTAGATTATCCGGTTCAACTCCGGAGAAATTTATCAAGCGAAGCTTAAGTCAGCTCACAAGTTGACTTAACTCAATTGCATGCTCACGAGTGCCAAGCTCAAGCCCATCCTTGAGGACTCACATTCCCACACATCCTGATTTGTCTGAAACAATGTATTTGGAACTCTCTCAAATTGAGCGCATGCGACAGACATAATCTCATATGCTCAGTAGGATAAATTACTTCATGCGTGCCGTCCGGATGTGAGTGTACACAGTGTGTACACTGAGTATAATTTTGTACATAGTTTGATTTTTTTATACTGTTTACAAACACTGTATACTTACATCCGAACGGTTCTTTATCATCTAATTCCGCACGGAATAATTTCTCGCTCAGTAGAGCCAAATAGTGAGTCCCACATGCATGCACAGACTACGATTATTGCTCTTTATCAGGGTGACGGTACAAAGTTTATTTTCCCAAATAAAGATTAAGAGCAATTGCATATCAATAAACCTGTAGAGAAATATGATGGATGGAAAGAGATGCTAACCTGATCAACTCGCAGAACAGTACAAGCAGCATCAGACGCATATTTAAGAGCAAAAAACCTATTCAGAGAATAATGAAATTAGCAAAGATTCACCACAGATGAAAGATATGATAAATAATAAGAGACCAATAGATTTACACAAACAGCATCAGCAGAGAGACTACGGCTTCGTTTGGCACGGCTTTTTCACTGCTTCTTAAAGCGATTTTTTAGTAAAAAATTAAAATTTTTATACTATAAAGCTATTTTAAGAAGCAGTAAGAAAGTCGTCCAAAACGAAACCTACGTTAGCATGATCAATCCTTCAAGTTGTTAAAATCTTGGCAACCAAAAACCAAGTACTAGATATTTAGTGCGATTCTCTAAAATATAGATTAAAAATTTTTGCACTTGCTACCACAAACAGTTAGGAAATCTGCACAAGCATGCCTCCATGTTTATACATTCAAGCTTTATTTGGGACAGTTTTTTACTGCTATTATTGTGTAAAAATAAATCAGTAAAAAGTCATCTGTTGGAATGAAAATTATGATCAATTGCTTCTAGAATTTACTGTTTTTGGTGAACCATAATAAAAATCGTGATTCAAGAACTCAAATTTAAAAAAAAAAAAGAATTGATGCAAGAAAAGCATAAGCTACAAAACTTAAATAAAGCAGAAAAATTACTTTCCTAAAAAGAATAATTTCATATGAGAGAATTTTTTTCTTCATACATAAAAATCACAAGGGAAATATGCAAAATGAGAGTGAATCATAAAAGACATCTGAAATATTATAAAGATGCTCACTTTGTGACATAGAGATCCCAAATTCTCAGAGTAGAGACATCTTTACATACACCTTCCTCCAAGTCAATTCCCACTTTAGTGTTGCCTGCAGCATGTTCAGCGTAGAGCGAAGAAATGATCTCCATTGCGTTAAGCCCAGCATTATCAGCCAGGATTCTAGGGACCATTTCAAAGCTTTCAGCAAACTTGGCAATGGCATATTGATCCAACCTAAAAGAAACAAAAATGACTATCAGGGAGTAGCGTTCAATTTCTTGATTTACTAACTAGGTAGCATTCATGCTTCTGAGAAATACTGGAAGCTCCAAAAACGGTATAAGTGACATTTTGAGATGTCAGTGGCATGAAAGGTAAATAACGCTTCAAATCAGCACATAGACATCAGTAGAACCTTTTAAATTCAAATTCTTGATTAATTCTTCATTTAACAGAAAATTTAAAACTTGATCATGGTGAACATTCATGCAGTGAAGCAAAAGTAAGATATCATAAAAAAACAAATCAAGCTAAACCGCCTGGAACTCCGTGAAAATCATTTATGTAAAAGCACTTCGCTAATATATAATCATCTTTAGTTGCACAAGGTTCAAAGAACAACAACAATAACAACATGATCAAAATTTTTATCTTACTACGTGCGATCAATTAGATGAATCCTTTTTCTCTATTGTGTCCTATTAAAAGTTAAATTCTCATTTAATTCTAATAGAAAAGTCATTTCTTAAGTTGCCAACACTATAATTACAAACTCTTAATATATCATCTAAATTAAGCAAACAGCAGTAGCCACATCCCAGCTGTGTATTCGGTTCATTTTTCTTTCTTGGCCTCTCATTCTAAGTTTAGAACATATTTAGTGTGCAAATAATTAAGTCAATTCTATTTTAACATCCTAAGAGCATTAGCTTTTGCCTATAATTTTTCCTCCTAAACCCCCCATTGAATGGCTGAATCTAACTCCTTTATTGTTGATTCCTCTTTTAATTAAGAATCACTCCAACCTTAAAAAGAGAAACGATCAAAATGGTCCATTGACTTTTTAGTATCATGCATACTTGTTAGCTAAAATGCAAAATTTGCTCCAAATTATTATAGCATATAAAAAGAGAAATGATCAAAATGATCCATCGACTTTTTATGAAGTACCAAAATTATCTGCAACTATATTAAAGGACTATTTTGGTTCCTCAAGCCTTTAAAAATAAATCAAATAGACTTGTGGTGGACTATTTTGGTTCCTTTGTTTTTTTTAGAGTTGCGGGACCAAAATGATCTTTTAATATAGTTTGAGACTATTTTGATCTTTTATAAAGAGTCAAAGGACTAATTTGATCCTTTTCTCCATATAAAAAAGACTAACTCCATGCTGATAATTAAAAAGGACCAAAATGTGTCAACTTTTAATATTATCAAATATTTAAAGAGATATAACAAAGTTTACGAATACACTGTAAATAATAAATCAGATGAAACAACATGGTGGATATATATAATTACAATCAGATAAGGGACCATTTAAAAGTACTGCTGCAATATAAAAATGCATGTAAATTAGACTTATGACCTAGTCCAGCACACCCCAAAAACGCATAGAGAAGTAAGATCCATGAAACCAAGCCCAAATTGTTCATATGAAACTAATGATGATGATGATGAGAGCAAGAACCAAAAAGCCAAGCATTTTTTCATTTTCTTTAAATGTCTATTAAAGGAGAAAGAAATACCCAGTTTCCTTAAAGGAGAACTCCTTCAACTTCCTTGCTAATTCTATTTCAGTTGCTGCAGCCCCAGGGAGGATACGACTATCCCTACACATAGCCTGTCAAGTAAGTAAAAGATCATATTAAGCTACAAACACAAGAATGGCCTAAATAGAGTCAATAATAAATAGGAATTACTACATTCAAGAGAATAAATATTCCATCTCACCACCACACAAGCATGTAAAAAGACAAACATACCTTATATGTATTGACACCATCATCAACAGCCCTTTCAAGGTCGTCTAGTATACTATCTGTACTTCCACGTAAAACAACTGTAGCAACTGAGTTTCCACCTCCGTCATTTTTCACAATGGTCACCTATTACATTAGACAAAAAGTAAGCTTATATGGATAATGGCGAATACGATAAATGCAAAAGCAGAACATCGTTAAAAAAATTATTTCAAATAATAAAATGTACCCGAACACCACCAATTTCTTCAACTGAGATAGAGTCAGAATAGCCCAGGTCGTCAGGATTTGGAGGGCCAAGTTTTAGCTGTGTTTATCATCAGAGCAATTACTGCCAGATGCAGAAAGTAAGAACCATGCAGTGGAAAGAAATAAGAGCAATAACTTACAAGAGCTACAGCACCAGTTGTGCGACAAAACCGCCTCAACTCAAATTTTGAACTGATTTTTAGAACCATGAGTCTGAAAGAAAATTAGGAAAGATAGCAATATTAATCACAAAATTTTAGTAGGCATCTCAAATTTATAATTGTTTGTAGCAAATTTGTGTACATGTCATATTGTCATCTATCTATCATCAATGTCTATGAAAATTTAAAACAACCAAGTACAAATGCACATATGCATGCTTCTTGTGTGTATATATGTGCTACAACATGCTAAGTTTATACATATCTAATTAAATTATGATGAACATATTAGTCTTTATCATACAACAAAGTTAAAGCATTGCACACAAATTCTTATCATAAATTTGAATAGAAAAAACTATTTAGGTTTACCATAAAGTTCCATATAGTTTTATTGACCTTCGCATTTTTTTTTTCTGCTTTAACTACTGGGGAGCATAGATCTTCATCAACATTAGCCATATTCCAGTTTCCAACTAATTGGTGTCAGTTTCAAGAATCCATTATTTTCATTCATTCAATGTTGAAAATTGCATGAGAATGTTAAATCAATATTGTAATTACAACCGCAGCCATCTGGGGAAGCTGGAAGTCAGGTCAGCAAAGAAAGCTGGAGACCATATAAATGAAATAGCAAAAGCATATTCCCCAGATAGACTTATAATATGGGTTACTTGTACTAATGGAGGACAATTGTGTACAACAACAACATCAAGCCTTTGTCCCACTACATGGGGTCGGCTAAATCCTTTTTCGTCATTGTGTCCTGTTAAAAGTCAAATTCTCATTAATACTAATGATAAAGCGATATTAATGATAAAGAAAACTCAATCTCTACAGTTTTAAAAAAAATCAGTTATGGGTGGTATCTCACCACAAATATAAGCTAAGTAAGCCAATTTACACAAACTAAAACTGAGAATTGGGCTTAATCCTCTAATTCCAAGTTTTTCAAACCAGAACCAAACAAAAATAGGTACATTAGGCTGATCTAACATGCCAATTCAATGAAGTTTGGATCAATTTTCAGGTCAAGTGGAAGCTATATGTCAACTTAGTAATTTAAAACTCAGAAAAAAAAAAAGCAAAACGGCTCGAGTAACTCCCTTGTCATGCTAAAGTCACAAAAGTAAGATCAAAATTCCACCTGGAAAATCAAACAGGTTGTGTATAAACTTGGAAAAAACGTAAAGAAACATTTTTAAGCATGATAAGCATAATGCCTCCACAAAACTAATTCCTTGTGTTAGCAAAATCAAGAGGTGATCAATCCAACCTTAGAGATAATGCAATGAATTGCCATGACAGAAACCATTTACAAATTCAAACACGGATTTGTTTCATTCTAATACACCAAACCTGATTGGATCTTCCATCATTGAAAATATAAGTTATCAAAAATTCCAGTGTAAATTGTGTTGAATCGTCAAAGTGCTTTTAAGATTTTAGCCTCGCAGTGATTCAAATGGAAAAAGCAACTTGGAGAACTCAGCTTACTTGTAACGTTCACAGAAATGCAATGCCATCTCTCCTACAGCAGCCCCGCTAACCACCACCTTGGCACCTGACTCCGCCACTGCTTTAATGAGTTCCTCAACTTTTGCTTCTTCAGTTTTTGCATAGTTCTCTAGCTGAAAATAGCAAATCAATGATATAACTCATCCAAAAGCAAAGTTGAGAAAAGAAACACTACAGCCTCTACTGCAAAATTTCATTGTAATGAAAATTCCCTATCAATTAGCATATTATACACCCTATCTTTCCACAACATAAGTGAAAAAATATTCCTTCTCAAACTTTATCAACAGTAAATTAAATTAAAATAAATTAAACTGGTTAATTTACTCTTCAGAGAGACTGTTGGGGGAAAATTATCAACTTGTCTGAACGATTACACTACAAACACAGCCAAAAAATATGCATAAGTACCTTCAGACCATCACCATAATCAAAACTATTAATTGCAGCAGTATCAGCATAAGCAATAGCATCTACTTTTTATGTGAATGGCCTCTACAGCGGAACTGACTCATAAAAAGCATATTGTGAGCAACCTTTGCTCCAATGCCTTATGTGATACCTTCATTATATGGCTCCAAATGAACATTTTATAATTCAAAATAGAAAAATTAAGTTTATACTCATTTCTCTAATTTCAAAAATTGAAATATTAAGTTTATAATCATTCTCATATGGAATTTTAAAATTAACCATCATTGAGTTATTCATATTTAAATCATGAAATAAGTTTCTAGGTCATGCACAGTTTCTACAGCTAAAATTTATAGAATTCAAATATGTCAACAGAAAAATACATCATTTATTTGACTTAAATCAGACATTATTCAAATTACAAAATATAAAAAAAAAATTGAAAATCTATAATATTAACAGAGTTCACAGCATATGTCATAGCATCTTTAACATCCTACAACTTTTTTTCTTTTCTTTTGTTGTGCTTTAAAACCAAGAAAATCAAAGTGTTAAGTAGCATGGGAAACATGCCAAGGAAGCCTTCCTTTGAGCGTGTATCTCCTCCATGGCTTCACAACCATTTGGGAAAAGCAACCGCAAAGCAGCTGGCTTCCCTCAAAGAATAGCCACTGCCATTATATTTATTTCATAATTGGTATAACGCAACACAAATTTTAGCAAGCCTTATGCAATTGCTTGAAAATAGTTGAAAAATGTGCGCATTATCATTTTTTCAAACAAATAAACAACCTAACAACACTGTAGAAATAAGCACACCTGCTCAGCACTTTCAATGAGAACAGTTCCCTTGGTTTCGGTTGCAGATGTATCGACACCTCCCACAAATACAGCAATCTGAGAAGACAGATAACTGCATCAGGGTTTTACTTAGAAGAAATGAGGACTAAAGGCAAGAATATAGGTGTCATAAAAGTATCTCATATGGAAAGAGCATTAAAAACAACAAAAGGATTCCCAAAAACAAATATAGCCTCATCATCGCATTTGATTTATCAATGTTCAGCCAGTAACATAAGAAACATTGTAGATGAAATCTGACAATATTCATGATCTTAATGAATCCTAAAGGATGCTAGCCAAACAGATAAAGCTTTCACAGTTAAGTATTAGTACAAAAAAAGGAGATACACCATCAAGTTCACGGAGAGTAAATGTAAATGTCTAATATAGCTGAAGGAAATTATAAAAAAAGGAAAAAAGAAAGGTAACATATTCTGCAATCCCGCTCTCAATTGTTCAGCCGTAATGTCTTCATGCTTTGCATTGCAAAGCCATGTGCAAGCCATAATCTGCATAACTTATGGGCCCTAAAAAGGTATACTACCACCTTGCACATAAAACTTGGATTGCTGCAAGGTAACAGTATTTTGTATTCTAAATCACAAAATAACAGGCACTGAAAAATGCTTAATCAGAATGTAGCTACTAGAACTAGAGAATAAAAGAAAATGCGTATGGCTTTGATGTGAAGAAGGTTTGTAGAAGGTTTTAAGCTATAAGCTTTTATTCAATCACAAAAGCGAGCCAACGCAATATGATTGATGAATCTTCAAAGCCAATTACTATGTTTTGGCATGCAAGTGATCGCCAAATCATGGATTGCCTAAGAGAATTTCTCCCAAGATACTAAAAAATCATTAATCTTATAATTTTGTATAAACAACTGTACACAGTAAAATTAAAATCTGAATCATTTTTTCAACACAGAATTTCTCATTGAACAAGAGAGCAAATCCCATTAACTTTTTAGAAACAAGATTTGTCACTAATCATCAGTATCAAAATCAATTAGTTTGATGCAGTTTTAGAAGTTGTTGAAACTAAACAAATTAAAATAAAAAGTCAAATTGCTGACGTTCTAATCTAGAGATAGTAGATTCAAGTCAAAGAAATAACCTCTCCCAAGATCTTGCATTGTGGAAGAATAAGATAACTATTGAAAAAGCAATTTTGCATAACCATTGTGTTAATAACTTTGCTTTAATTCAAAATTTTCTCACCGTTTAGTTGCTAAACTTTGCCCAACAAAAACAAAAATAAAATCTTCAACTATTTTCTTAGAATGACAACTAGATACAAGGGAGAAAAAATAAAAAAGTAATCTTAATTTCATGTCATTGAAGGAATGAATTCATAGCAGTTAACTGCAGAGAACAGCCGTTCCAGAACAGGAAAGGAAATCATGGAAGAAATAATACTTCAATAAACAGAGACAAATAAAAATAAAAGTCATAAAATTATAAACAACGCTGGCAAATATGGGTTCATCATATGCGTCCATGGGGCAATACAATTGTCTTATGTACCCCATAAGAACATATTATCTCTCACAACAATCCCATGCCTTCAACTAATGCACCACATCACCCCGTTAACCATTGTAATTAACATTATTCAAGATGACAAACACTTTCATCAATTTTTTCTTAAATGTCCAAACATTCCAGTATTTCAGAAACACAATTTTTTAATGCATGCAACAGGACTGAACTTATTGCCTAATAACTAGTGAGAATAAAACCATGGTGTTGAAACAATATATGATAATGCTTTCAAGCATTTTAAGCAGCTAATTCAATAACTTGAAAGCTCAAGAAAAATTGTCTTACATTCCAAATGAAAAATGAGTCTTACAAAGCTTGGATTGGCATGGTAACACATAATCCATTAAAGTAATAAAAAGTACATAACTTTTATGAAATAAAAATTAACATAGACATCACAATATAAAGAAACCACATTGACCTTCCTAATAACTGGTGATAATAGAAACATGACATTGAAACAATATATATACTGCGTTCAAGCAGAATGGCTCGAATATAAGTCATTCAGAAAGGAAAAAACCTAGTAAAAAGGTATCACCTTCGCTTTTTCCACTTTTTTTATGCTCCCAGTGGCGTCATTTTTCAGGATCATTCCACGTACAACCGAGCAATTGTGCAGGCCACCACCAACTAGTTTCGCAACTCTCACACTATCCACATTAAAGTTTGCTGGATTCTTTGGACAAACTTGAATGCAGGCCTATCCATATAATAGAATCAACTATTATACTATCCATGGGTAACAGCCAAATAAATCAGACAATATTGGAGTACAAAGATACTCACATCAGCAATTAGAGAGGATAATATATCCTCTAGCCCAAACTGTTTGCTGGCAACCGCAGCTTTCATCCTAGAAACAACTTCATCCTTATTCCTGACGTCCATGGTATCTGATCCTTTCTCCACCAATTCATCTAGAATCTCTATGGTCTGAGAAGAATTGAATAATGAATAGAAGACATTGGGATTTATTAAAAAAAAAAACATAATTAGTGAGAATCTCAAGATACAAAAAGCAGCGAAGAACCTTATTGATTGCTTTTGTATATCCACTAATAATTTCACTAGGATGCAGTCCCATCCTGATGAGCTCCTCTGCATTTTGCAGGATTTCCCCAGCAAAGGATATTGTGAGATTAGCCCCATCTCCAATCTCCTCTTGTTGAGCTTTGCCCGCTAGCACCAATATCTTAGCCGCAGGATGTTGTACTTCAAGCTCATTTACAATTGTGGCAGCATCATTTGTGACAAAGAGCTTGTCAAGATGATTGATAACCATTTTGTTCATGCCTGAACAAAAGAAAATACGAAAAAATGGAGCATTGCAGATAATTATGATGTAATTCATAAGGTCTGCGCTAATACCGTCAATGACAATGATAACTTCTAAGGCTTTTGAAAATTTGTAGATATAGTTAACACACATAGACTATAGAACTAATAAAACTAAGGCCCAAAATGAGTGTGAAATGAGCTAAGTTAAAAGACTTCCCAACATCCCAAAAAGTGTCAAAATTAAATGATTCCTTTAGTATAGATCATGTTGCAAAAGTTAGCATGAGGAAGAAAATTACATAACCAGCTCTAAAAGAAGCTGACACTTTTTAAAATATATATCCTTATATAGAAAAGTAAAATAAATAAAAATATGGAAAAGAGCTTTTGTAAATTCATGGACAATAATAAGACATACATAGAGTGGACCATAATTACTGCCAACAATGGCAAGGATAACGCTGAAAACTTTTGGAAATTCATGAATATGGCTGACACACAAATTCAGATAGACCTAATCATAATAAAACCAAGGCCCGAGATTGATGCAAAATGAACTAAATCAAGAGAGACTCTATCTAACATCTCCAAAAGTTTCAAACTTTAATGTTATCTTCAGTACACAAAATTTTCATAAAATTCAGTGCCTTTACAACACTGCGTTGAATAAGACTTTAAAGAGCCTCACATTTTTCAAACAATGAAAAAAATATGTGCATGAAACTAAAACAAAAAAAACATGCCAACATCAACATATGCGCAGTTTCCAGCAGCTCAATAGATGAATATAAAACAATTAAAAAAATTAAAATTGAACCCAAAAAAATATATAAAAAAACTTCTCCCGACTCTCCAAGATCCATGCCTACACTATCAATGCATCCATAACCAAGTATCATCGAACGATACAGCTCGAAATTTCACATAAAATTTCTTCAAAAAAGCCCCTTGGTTTATAATTAGGAGGTAAAAAAGCTGAAAGACCCTTAAGCACGACATCCCAATACCCCTTTCAAAACAAAGATTGCACAATAGCAAACGAAACAGTTCCCTTCTGTTCATTTCAATAATCCAACATAAACCAAACCACTCTCTCACGTTAACATTAAAAGATGGCTACTTGCAATCTAATACGATAGCAAAAAAAAAAAAAAAAAACAGATCGCTCATTGCGATGGCCAAGCTCCTACCGTTGGGGCCAAGAGAAGTGCGGGTGATCAAAGATAGCTGCTTGCAGGCATCAATGTTCTTGAGCACGGCCTCGTCGAGCCCGGAGAGATGCTTGTGCCCTTCTTTGAGGAGCCCCTGGATGCCGTAAGGTTGCATGAGGAACACCATTTTCGACGGCTATAGCCTGTGCGCAAAACGCGAAGCTGACGGCGAGATTCTCCGGTGGAAGTAAATGGGAACTCCGAGCAGACAGTGCGGAGTGTAAAACCCTAGGAACGAACAAACAAAGAACGGCGACCGGAGAACATATGAGGCACCGCCTTCGAGGTCCGGTTTAAGCTTTAGCAAGACGATCCACCACAATAAGATCCGGTTTAAACTTTTTTTTTTTTTAAGGGAATTTACATAGATAGATACTATAAATTTAAATACAATGTAAAATAAAAAATATTTATATTAAAAATATATTTTAATTATTTGATCTTATATGTTATAAATATGATAGTTATCTTTTTCATTGGAGCCTCAATCTTCTTAAAAAACATGTATTGTAATAAGATTGAGCAAACGACCCAATAAGTTTCATAAAACTAAATCAACATTCGTGCTGATAATGATTTTATAATAAACATTAAACATGTGTTAAATAAAAAAATATCTACACCGTTCCATTTGTGTAAATGTTATGTACGTAATATACAAATGAGAATTTCAGGACCGTCAGGTGTCTGTTTTGCAAACCGTTTTTATCGATATTTTTAAAATAATATGTTTTATTTTATGAATATTTTTTCTATAATTTTTTGAGTGCTAAAATAATTTATACAAATTTCTACTAAGGAAATTGATTAATAAAATTATATAATATTAAATTATTATTTTAATAATAAAATATCTAATGTCACTAATAAAAAAAACTTGTAAATTCCTATTACCTGAGCATTCGGCTAATAGAGGAAGAAAACAAAGTAATTAGAGAGAAAAATATAAGAGAGAGAAAAGAAAAGTTTAGATTTTGAGGCTGCAGTGGGATTTTCTTCAGTCATGCCAGTTGGGATATTAACTCGTCTCATTGTAAAGAACATTTGACCTATTTCTGATTTTAAAAATTTTGTATTTTTTCGCTCAAATTTGTGTTTTCGTTACTAAAAAATATGAATAACTTTGTATTGGCAAAACTTTCACCGCGTAATTTTTTATATATTAAATATATCATGATTATGAGCATTTTGAGTATTTATTTAAGATTTTTTACTGTGTGATTTTAAAAATGCAGCAATTTTTATCTTCTCTAAAATTTATTTTGACCTCTAAAAATAGTTGTGTAGTACAATAAAAGTTTTAAAAAATCTTTTTATACAATTCCTGATATTTTGATAATTTTCTAAAAAATGAGCATTAATTTTTGTCAAATAAGATTCTTTGTTGTCTATCGTTATGACATTTTGACATCTTCTTAATTAAGTTCAATTATGCATTATTTGTTATAATGCATTGAAAATGGATGTGGATATATGATTGAGTAATAGCTGATCACTTTAACTGTTATAATATTATGATAATAATGTGCGTTTGTGAAATAAAAGAGTAAAGACTGGCTAACTCGTTGGTTGGAGAATGATTGACATGTACAGGATGCTGGGCCGACGAGCTTTCCTTTAAATATTATGATTTTGTGTTATCCTCTACTGATTCATGTGATACACTGATTGGGAGTTATAAGAGATCATTAATATGCCGACGGATAAAAAGCAACGACTATATTTACTGAGCCAACTGTTTACTTACACTGAAAAACATCGTGATAGCTAGGACCTATTACTTGTTTATTGTTGCTACTAAAATACATATTTTTTAAGCATTATTCTCAATATTATATGGATTTATTATTACTATACGGATTTATTGTTACTATACGGATTTACTGTTATTATATTAGTATGCTACTTCTACCATTGGATTGTTACTGATATAAATATTGATACTATTTGATACTACTGATTCACTGTACTGATATTAAGCATATGATATTGAGCACGTAATAAAGAATGCATGGATAACATGTGTATATTTTTATATAATTTTACTGCATTGATTTAATTTTGATAGTCTTTACTGAAGTTTTGATTTGATATATTATACAATTTTTATACTAATTAGTATTACAGATACAATGATTGATTTATAGATTTGACTCTTGTACTGCTTTACTACTTTATTGGCTTATATATCATTGTGTTTAATTGTTTACAGATTTTATTGCTATTACATGTGAGTTTTAAATTTTCTACACTAATTCAATGATCGTATGAATGTAAATGTCATTGGTCGAGCTTTGATTTCAGTTGTATATTTAGGTAATCTGCTGAGTTTTTTAAACTCATTATATATTTTTAATTGATTTCAGATCAGGGTATGTGAGCATGAGAGTGAGATTGGTTGGAAATCTTCATATTCAGCTTCTTTTTTTGTCAACTATTTTTTTACTCAAGACAAAATAGTCATGATTTGATTATATAGATCATGAGTATTGTATATAAATTTTGGGAATGAATATAAATGTGTATATTAATGTTTTGAATGAGATAATCTGTTGTATTGTTTATTACTAGTATACGATATTAGATATTTCTGATTGTTATTTATTTAAAGAATAAATAAATAATTCTTCTAATTTAGATTTTGGGATATCACAGTTGGTATTAGAGCATAGTTATTGGAAGAATTGATTGTTACTATGCTATATGATTTGATTGAGAGTTGGGAAGAATAGGTAGTTTCAGGTGCATTGGTTTGCATGGATAATTAAATTACATGTTATAGAATGAATTATATGACTGAATGATTTTTGATGAAATTTTATTTGATTATAATTTGATTCGAATTTTGATTGCACGGATTTGGTTTATATTGATTTTATGCTCAATTTCTTAAGGAAAATATCGAAGACAACATTTTTTTAAGGTGGCTAGATTGTAATAACATATATTTTGACTTTATTATTATTTTTAAATTAATATAACTCCAAATAGCAAACTATCTTCGCCATAGTATTTTGATTGTAATATTTTACTTAAATGAAAATTTTCATAATTTTTTGGCACTGGTGAAAATCCTTAACGAATTTGTACATGTCGGTACAAGTGAGAATTTCGAGACCGTTATGTATCAGTTTTGCAAATCATTTTCACTTATATTTTCTAAATAATATGTTTTATTTTATGGATATTTTTCTATAACTTTTGGAGTTCTAAAATAATTTATATAATTTTATACTAAAGAAATTGATTAATTAAATTATATAATATTAAATTATTATTTTATTAATAAAATATAATGTCACTAATCAAAAAGCTTTTAAATTCTTATTCTCTAAGTATTCTGCTAACGAAGGAAGAAAACAAAGTAATTTGAGAGAAAAATATAAGAGAGAGAAAATAAAAGTTAAGATTTAGAGGCCGCGGTGCGATTTTATTCAGTAAGGTCAGTTGGAATATTTACTCATCTCATTGTAAGAAACA